CTTGAACAACAAATAACCCGAGAGCTTGCACTGTGAAAATCCAAAGGATCCTCGCTGCTCGCTCTGTTAAAACAATATCAGAAAATCGCAGTCATTTGAGACGAAAGAGACCAATTGGGCCATTTCCACTCATTTCCTTGTCAACGAAAAGGCCTGTTTGCCAGTATACTTAGACTACTCGAGTCTGAAATGACAACAGAGACGGGGCTCTGTGACTTCTCTGGGGCGTCTATTTCACAGTCTAACAAATACAGCCATTTTCCTTCCCAGCTTTGCAGCTCGGAGAGGCATTCTTGGGTTTGTCTCATCCCGTGTGCCCGCTAGACACAGGCTTTTGCGACACGGTGTGCTCCTGGTTTCGAAGATGATCTAATCGTTCAAGAAAGGAGAGATTCAAAGGCTAGCTGGTAAAGCGGACTCTGGAAGGGTACTGACGTATAATGGCAGTGGTGTTTATGTGGCTATCATCTACATTTCCCGTATTGCTCAGAGTAATCTGCTTGACAAGGGAAGCCGTGTGACGGACCTACTCTCTGACTGGCGCACTCCGGTCCAGGTTGTGAAAGTTGGTTTGTGTAGGGACTGCCGAGAGTGTGAGTCCTGCCGTGTGGATCTTTTGGTCCTCCCAGGTTCCATTCGGAGCATCTTAATAGGCATTGAAAATTGGTCACTGACTCAGTTGAGACTACGGTGGCCGATCTTCAAGGGATGGCTGGAGATCACCTGGGTTTATGACTGGTCTCCAGATGACAGAGATGGTTTCCCCTGGAGAAAACAGCTGCTTTGGGAGTTGGAATTAAAGGCATTATATGAGCCTGCGGTGCGATGTGGCTGTGAAGAAAGCTAATGCAGTCTTAGGATGCATTAACAGAAGCCTTGTGTCCAGATCATGGGAGGTGGTAGTTCCGCTCTATTCTGCTATGGTCAGGCCTCACCTGGAGGACTCTACCTCCTCTGCAGGTGGAGGAGGGGCTGTGGCTCAGGGGCAGAGCCTCTGCTTGGCACGCAGAAGGTCCCAGGTTCAATCCCCACCATCTCCAGTTTAAAAAGACCAGGCAGTAGGTGATGGGAAAGACCTCTAACTGAGACACTGAAGAGCTGTAAAGAGGGACTGTGGCTCAGTGGCAAAGCATCTGCTTGGCATGCAGAAGGTCCCAGGTTCAATCCCCGTCATCTTCAGCTAAAAAGGACCAGGCAGTAGGTGATGGGAAATACCTCCGCCTGAGACATTGGAGAGCCATGAAGTGGTAGAGCCTCTGCTTGGCATGCAGAAGGTCCCAGGTTCAATCCCTGCCATCTCCAGCTAAAAAGGACCAGGCAGTAGGTGATGTGAAAGCCTTCAGCCTGAGACCCATGAAATTGGGCTATGGCTCAGTTGTAGAGCCTCTGCTTGGCATGTAGAAGGTCCAAGGTTCAATCCCTGCCACCTCCAGTTAAGAGGACTAGGGAGTAGATGATGTGGAAGACCTCAGCCTGAGACCCTGGAGAGCCATGAAGTGGGGCTGTAGCTCAGTGGCAGAGTCTCTGCTTGGCAGGCAGAAGGTCCCAGGTTCAATCCCCAGCAGCTCTAGTTAAAAAGGGCCAGGCAGCAGGTGATGTGAAAGACCTTCTCCAGAGAACCTGGAGAGCCACAGCCAGTCTAAGTAGACAATGCTGACCTTGACGGACCGATGTTCTGGTTCTGAACAAGGCAGTTTCGTGTGTGTTCCTGGTCATGCTGTCCCACATCGCTATGGTTGGTGCACAGGGGTGAATATTGCAACGCACTGGGCAGGGCCTATGGGGTGGGTCTTTCCCATTTCTTCAGCACCCTCCCTCCCAATGACAGTCACAAACGAGCATGCCACATGACATTAGTGCAGGCTAATGTCCATCAAATGAACTGCTAGACCAAACCGGGCCATCTCCTGACAAGAGGGCATCCTTTCTCCCACTCAGTCATTGCTTCTGGTGGCTTCCGGGACACCTGTCTTGGCTGCCACACTCCCTTAGAATATCGTGGAGTCCCCTGATCAGGAACATAGTATCTGTCTTGCATGCAGAAAGTCCCAGGTTCAACCCCTGGCCTCTCTAGCTAAAAGGATCATGTACCAGTTGATGGGAAAGATCTCCAACTCCCTGGATAGCCACTGCTGATCAGAGTACACACGACAGACAGGTCAAGGGTCTGACTCAGTAGAAGGTGGCTTCTTTTCCTTTGTGCATTCTTTGCGGAGGGGCTGTGGCTCAGTGGTAGAGCATCTGCTTGCCATGCAAAAGGTCCCAGGTTCAATCCCTGGTATCTCCAGGTGAAAGGAACAGGTAGCAGGCAATGTGAAAGACCTCTGCCTGAGACACTGGAGAGCCATCAAGTGGGGCAGTAGCTCAGTGGCAGAGCCTCTGCTTGGCATGCAGAAGGTCTCAGGTTCAATCCCCGGCATCTCCAGTTAAAAAGACCAGGTAGTAGGTGATGTGAAAGACCTCAGCCTGAGACCCTGAAGAGCCATGAAGTGGGGCTGTAGCTCAGTGGTAGAGCATCTGCTTGGCATGTAGAAGGTCCCAGGTTCAATCCAATGCTAGCAAAGGTCATCTCCATAGGGGAGAGGCAGTGGCTCAGTAGTAGAGAGCCTCTGCTTGGCCTGTAGAAGGTCCCAGGTTCAATCCCTGACATCTCCTGTTAAAAGGACCAGGTAGCAGGTAATGGGAAAGACCTCTGCCTGAGACCCTGGAGAGCCACTGCCAGTCTGAATAGAAAATACGGACTTTGATGGACCAGTGGTCTGATTGAGTAGAAGGCAGCTTCCATGTGTTCCTTGTGTCCATGTGTAGGACAAGGGGAAAAGAATGTGATTTCTGAATGTGATTTCTGACACTCTCTCCTTGATGTATATGGACAGCTGTCACTGTGCCTTCAAAAGTTTAATCATAATAGATCCAGATTTTGGTATGTAACCTACAATCTTCTGATCAGGAGGAGGAAGGAGAAGAAAGAGAAGAAGAAGAAGAAGAGGAGGAGGAGGAGGAGGAGGAGGAGGAGAAGGAAGAAGAAGAGGAGGAGGAGGAGATTGGATTTATACCCCGCCCTTCACTTGGAGTCTCAGAGCGGCTTACAAACTCCTTTCCCTTCTCCTCCCCACAACAGACACCCTGTGAGGTGGGTGGGGCTGAGAGAACTCTGACACAAACTGCTCTTTCAGGAACAGCTGTGCCAGAGCTTGTGACTGACCCAAGGTCACATCAGCAGGTGCAAGTGGAGGAGTGGGGAATCAAACCCAGTTCTCCCAGATTAGAGTCCACACACTTAACCACCACGCCAAACTGGCTCTTCCGCCCTTGGAGAACCCTTTCTACACTGGCTTGTCTGTGTGCCTAGTAAAAAGTTCTGGGCTGTGGGGCTGTGGCTTAGTTGGCGAGGATCTGCTTGGTGTGCAGAAGGTCCCGTGCTCACCTCCAGGCAAAAGGACCAGGCAGGAGGCGACGAGAAAGGCCACTGCCTGAGACCCTGGAGAGCTGCTGCCAGTCTGAGTAGACAATACCCATCTTGATGAGCCAAGGTTCTGATTCAGTGGAAGGCGGTTTCGTGCGCGAGGGAGCTTCATGTGTCCTTTTTAACCTTTCCTCCTGATAATGCAGATGTAGAAAGATGGGTGCTGCTGGGGGCAACATGGCGGAGAGCCCCGAGATGCCGACGGCCGTCATGTACAGCTCTTCTCGGAATGCCGCCCAGCCCCCTCCCCCAGCCCCCGGCAACCAGCTCTGCAATCCCTCCCCCCGTTCCAGTAATGGGGTTAATCATTACCACCAGCCTGACAATCTAATAATTAGTTCCTGGCTCAATGGGCCACAGAGAGAGCCATCTGCGGGGCTGTGTCACATCAGGCTCCCGGGGGTGGGCGGGCGGGAGGCAGGAAAGAGGCCTAACATATGAAGAGGTGACGGGGCTCTGCGGCAAACGGCCCGGCTTCCTCCACAGCTCGGTGGCTTTTGCCCACGAGACATCTGCTCGAGGCGGCAGACCGCAGCCAGACCATCACGGCTTCCAAAATCCGAAGGGCTGCTAATAATGCCTGAAAACGGCACGGCTAAGGTGCTCGGATCCCGGCTTTGGGGAAACGGCTGTGGTCCACAGGGGGGATAACAGAGGATGGCAACCAGAGGGGGGCAACCAGGAGGGTGAGAGGGTTGGAATCCAAGTCTTACGAGGAAAGGCTGAAAGAGTTGGGTCTGTTTAGCCTGGGAAAGAGAAGGCTTAGAGGAGACACGATTGCAGTCTTCGAGTATTCGAAGGGCTGTCATGTAGAACTGCCAACCTAGCAGTTCGAAAGCAAGAAAGCAAGAAATTGCTTTGGTGGGAAGGTAACAGCATTCCATGCGCCTTGGTGTTTAGTCATGCTGGCCACATGACCACGGAAATGTCTTCGGACAGCGCTGGCTCTTCGGCTTTGAAACGGAGATGAGCACCGCAACCCTAGAGTCGGACTCGACTGGCTTTCGAGCAAGGGAAACCTTTACCTTTACCTTTACATGTAGAAGATGGAGCGGATCTATTCTCTTTTGCTCCAGATTGCAAGACTAGGTCTAATGGGTGGAAATTACAAGGGAGTTGTTACCGGCTAAATATCAGGAGAAACTTCCTAACTGTAAGCGTGGTTGAGCAGTGGAACAGTCTGCCTCGGGAGGTGGTGGATGCTCCTTCGCTAGACATTTTCAAGTGGAGGCTGGATGACCATCATTGGGGTATGTTGTAGGTATGTAGGGCTATCTTTCGGCTGTGCTCCTGCAGAGTGCAGAAGGTTGGACTAGATGACCTCCAAAGTCCCTTCCAACTCTAACATTCTATGATTCTAGGTATTTAGTCGCAAAAACATTCAGAAATCAGTGGTCCAGATTCTCCGTTTTCAAATTCGGCAGGGTGTCTGTTTTTGAATGCAAGGCATTTGCATTTCCTTATTTATATCTTGCTTTCCTCCTCCGTTGGGAATCGAAGCAGCTTAGAACGTCGCTCTTTCCTCCTCTGTTCCCCCACAACAACAACCCCGTATGGGAGGAGCAGCAAACACACCAGAAGATAGAGATGGAATTCAACGAGATCGGAACACGCTGGGAAAGCGGGCGGATGTGAACGAGATGCCATTTAACAAGGACAAGTGCCGAGTTCGACATCTGGGTAACAAAGATGAGGAACACGCAATACTGGATGGGGGACTTTCCCCCTCTCTCAGAGACACGCAGAGCTAGTCCTGCTTTGCTCGTCCCTGTTACTCGCTTCCCTGGCAGGTGTGTGGCAGAACGATCGCTATTTGTACTGGGCCTTTGTCCGGAGGATCAAGCAACACATGTTTGTTTTCTCTCTCTCTCTCTCTGTTTCCTTCTGCGGCCCTCGGGAGCCAGTCGTTGAAATCCAGGCTGTCCTAATTACAGCCCAGCAGGAGCCTTGGTTGGCAGAGCCGGCAGCGAAGAAGGAATCCTGAGACAGCCCCAGCCAGAGAGACGTCCCTCTTTGTGGGGCAGGAATCTTGGCTCTGCGTGCTCCGCTTGTCTGTTCCTGCTCTCTGCCTGTCCTTCGATGCGGATACAATGATGGCGCTCGCGGCTGGCGACGCTCCCTCCTGTGCCGGCAGAAACCAGATAGAGGAGGGTCCATACAGTCTTCCCTCCTCCTGTTTTATTCTCACTTTTCTTCCCAATGGGGACCCAAAGCAATTTAGACTGTTCTCCGTTTTATCCTCACAACAAGCCTGTGAGGTAGGCTAGGCTGTCTCACACGAAGAAGAAGAAGAAGAAGAAGAAGAAGAAGAAGAAGAAGAAGAAGAAGAAGAAGAAGAAGAAGAAGAAGAGGAGGAGGAGGAGGAGGAGGAGGAGGAGGA